GAGCATTCAGGATGAGGCAGGCCCTGTTTTAAGCACCTGACATGGAGATAAGTTAATGAATCCTCACAGAGAGGAGACTGAGGTTCAGACAGGGTAAGTGACTTGGCCCAAGTCACAGAGCTGGTGAGTGGCTGAATTAGAATTTGATCCCAGGCAAGCTGGCTCCAGAGTCCATGCTTTAACCACTTTTCTCTCCTCTGAACCTTCCAAGCCCAGGAGATTAATATCAATTAGGAGATGAACACTGGCTTGAGAGTCAGTCCCCCTTTGCCATTCCTAGTCACGTGGCCTGGCCAGACCACCTGGGTAGCTCAGCTTCCTCCCTTGTAAAATGAAGATAACGGTAGCACCCACCTCCAGGGTAAAGGTAAGGATTACTAATAACATACTTTGGGGCCTGGAGCTCAGCAACTACTCCAAATTCTGAAACTAACATATGCACATGGTAAAATAAAATAGTTCAAAATTGGACGCAGTAAAAAGTGAGTACCCCCTCCTATTTCACACCTTTAACTCCTCTCACCGGAGGTAACCACCATCCTCAGCTTTTGTATCACCTTTTGGGAATTTTCCATGCGCATAAAGACAGAGAAGCTGCATGGGATGCTGGTTAAGGACATGGACGGCCTTGGCCAAACCCTGGCTACGCAGCGCACTAGCTATGTGAAGCTGCCTTTTGCTATCACAAACAATGCCGCGAGACACGTCTTCTTCACCTGTCATTTGGCACAAGTGCAAGAATCTCTGTGGGATAAATTCCTAGCGGAGAAATTGCTGGGTCAAACAGCAGTGCCCCTGTAATTTCGATTAATTTTTGGTTGAGCAAATCCTCGCAGCAGGGAGGAAAGGGGAAAGAGGTCCGCAGAGCAGTGAGGACAAGGAAAGAGGGAGATGTGATGTTCTGACTCCGAGGTCCAGGGAGGACCATGTCTGCCCCAGCAACCTGCAGGATATGGCAGCTCCCCAGGCCCCTGGCCAGGCAGATGGAGGGTTTAATTTTATCCAGATTGTCCCCATAAAGACTTTACAGGGAATTGGTTGATTGGATTAGAGGAGCAGGAGCCCCTAATGAGCAGTGGATGCTTAAAATGTTAAAGCAGACACAATGTTCCTTCACCACCATCCGCCATAGCAGCATCCAGGCTCTGACAGGGACCCCCTAGATGCCAAAGGTATCTCTGAATCGTACCCCAATTGGGTTTTCCTTCTTTGAACATCCTTCTTGGTCCCAGACATCCCAGAAGAGGCAGAGAGCAAGAAGTTAAGAGCACAGGTTTTGGGGTAAGACAAAGGTCTTTTGTAGACTGAAATTACTGTGTGACTTGGGCAAGTCATTTCCCTCTCTGAGCCTCAGCGAATAATAGGACCTGCCTTCATGGGGTCGCTGTGAGGATTAAATGAAGTTAAACACAGAAAGTGCTTAGTTCAGTGCCTGGCACATAGTAAGAGCCTAATAAATGGTAGCCCATGAGATAAAGGTGAATAAAGGCAGCTACTCTCTATCCCTCCCCAGAAGGCCCTGGAACAAGGTGAAGGGTTGTCGCTTCCCACCCCCATCTTACAGGAGCATTTTAGTAGTTGCCCCGACCACCTCTTAGGGAATGTTCCAGGTTTCCCAGTCTGTAAAATGGATTGTGTGTTTTGTTTTCAAGTAAGTTTCAAAGGCCTTGCCAGAATTAATATTCGTTTTTGTGTCTGATCCAAAAGCACAAATGGAGCGTGGGAACCCTCAGATGGGAAGAAGGGGAAGCTCGCAAAGGAAGTTTCCTAAGCCCCCCCCTCCCCATCCCCTATTTGTCTGATCTGGGGCCTTCCTCTGCGAGTCCCTGGAATAACAACAGCGAGGAGGAGTAGCCCAGTGATCCAGGCAGTACCTGAATGGGTTAAGAGCGCAGGCTCGGGGTCCGAGAGATCACTATTAGTCTTTTCCTGCAAGAGTTTTGTGCCTGCCTAAGGCTTCCTTTCCGAGCCTCAGTCCCCTTACACACCTGTAAAGGGCGAGTGAGGATGGCTCTGTGGCCCCGCTGGGAGGGAATGGGGGCGACTGGCGGAGGGCAC